ATTTGTTGAAAAGACTTTAAACTCCATTGAATTGTCTTTGTTCCTCAGTGTGAATATATTTGTGTGACTCTATTTCTGGGCTTTCTACTCTGTTCCAATGATCTATTTGTTTATTCTTTTGCTAGTGCCACAGTGTCTTGGTAAAGTCTTGAAGCTAAGTTTGTCAGTCCTCTGACTTTGTTTTCTTTCAATACTATGTTGGCTATTTTGGGTCTTTTGCCATATAACTTTTAGAATTCATTTGTCAACATCCACAAAATAAATGGTTGAGAATGTGTATAATATTTTTAAATGGTAGTAAAATTTCTTTTCTAAGTGGGGAGATGTGAAAAAATGTTAGTATTGAAAATTGTCCAGTGGGAATAGATTGATTAAGCACTGGGGGAATAAGAGGAATGAGAATGGGTGAATTAATAATTGGAATTTGTGGAAAAGAGAAATAATAGTAGTACCAGGTCTTTAAATATTTTTCTTCTCTTTAACAGTGTTACTCAAATAAATGTATTTTGGCAGAAATAAATCAATTTTGATAATTTGATAGGTTAATTAAAGTGTGGTTCTTAGTATGTACTCTTGTGTTTAAGCTAAAACAAGTTATAAGCCTTTTACTTGTACTCAAATTGTCCTACAGTATTTTTGTAATTGTTCTGTAGTTTTTAATAGTTTTATAGACATGCAGTTATGTGTGCACACGAGCACACAAGATAATATTTTTGTTGAATGTTTACTGAATACCTACCATGGATATGATACTACTCTTAAAATTTGTGTTCTAAACATCAGGTTAAACTTTTTTTTTTTTTGAAATAGAGTCTCACTCTGTTGCCTGGGCTAGAGTGCTGTGGTGTCAGCCTAACTCACAGCAACCTCAAATTCTTGGGCTCAATCGATCCTGCTTCAGCCTACCAAGTAGCTGGGACTACAGGCATGTGCCACCATGCCCGGCTAATTTTTTTCTATATATTTTTAGTTGGCCAATTAATTGCTTTCTGTTTTTTTTTTGTTTTTTTTTTTTTTTAGTAGAAACAGGGGTCTCATTCTTGCTCAGGCTGGTTTCGAACTCCTAACCTTGAGCGATCTCCTGCCTCAGCTTCCCAGAGTGCTAGGGTTACAGGTGTCAGCCACCATGCCCAGCCCAGGTTAGGCTTTCATCTCACTTTTTCATTAATTTGCAATTGGAATGTCAGATATTGGTGCAAACACTGTTGTTAACCCAACATAAGGGGAAATTTGCTAGGGGTTTCTTAGAAGAATTTTTATCTTTGACCACCACCAACAAAACAAAACAAAGCCCCCATACACCCTTAAAGAGAAAGACTTTTGCTTTTGCCCTATCAATTCTCTTTTGGACATTGGTGTGGGAAGGGATACCTGATGCTGAAGCTTGTGACCAAGAGGCAGCACGCATGAGGACTTAAGCCACGATCTCTTTAGAGTTTCCTATACAATTGCCATATGATCCAGCAGTCCTACATCTGTAAACAATTTTATCTTAAATTATACAGAACAGAGAGCTGCAGAAGCCTGGCAATCTCTGTCTTTATTATCAACAAAGACCCAGCTTGAAATTTAAATATTTATGTGCCTCATTTTTGACAAAGCCAATATATGAGAATCTGAAAGTATTAACTGTATATAAGAGTTTAAAGGAGATAGGACAAGATCCCTAACTTCAAAGGCTTATAATCAAATTGGATATTAGAGTATGTATAATCTGGTACATGATAAGTGGTGAATGAGTGGTATAGATAGTGGTACTCTAAGTATTAATGACAAATTAGTTATAAAATATTTCTCAAAGGAGTTAAGATATGAGTCAGGCCTTAAATGCAGACAGAATAGTTGAGAGGCAATTCTAGGTAAAACACTAAGACATGCATGCTCCCTGTGTTTATGTAGTGGCTTTCTAATACATGGATTTAAATAGGGATTGGATATTGATGGGCCTCAAAAGACAAATAAAAGAGTTTGTTATTGGGAACCCAAAAATAGTTTTGAGCAGGGGATGCTGATAAATAGGATTTTAAAAAATTATTCAGTTATTTTGATTCCTTAAATGATAGATCGGGCATGGTGGCTGAGCTTGTCTGTTATCCCAGTTTTTCTGGAGGCTAGGGTAGGAGGATTGCTTGAGACCAGCGTGGGCCACATAGTGAGATTCCATCTCTAAAAAAAAAAGATAGCAGGGCCTGGTGGCACATGCCTGTCATCCTAGCTACTTGGGATGCTGACACAGGAGGATCACTTGAGCCCAAAGAGCTTGAGGCTGCAGCGAGCTATAATTGTACCTAATTGCATTCCAGCCTGGACGACAAAGCAAGACCCTGTCTCTAAAAATAAAAATTAAAAAAAAAAAATCAAAAAACGAGGAATGCCATATGAAGTAGTATTGAATATTATTCATCTTTCATAATTATAGATTAGATTGTGCTAATGTCCCATGCATAGATGAGAAAATTGACACCTTAAATACGAGTTTTTGCCGTGTTTTGGGAGGTATAGTGATTCTTCAGTTCCACAAGCAGGTGTTATAAACATGCTTTTCCCAGCTGAATGAGATTTTTGGCTTTCTGCAAGGTTTTATTTTTTTAATTTTAATTTAATTTTTTAGAGACAGGGTCTTACTATTATTGATATGTTCCCCAGGTTAGAGTGCAGTGTGATCATAGCACACTACAGCCTCAAACTCATGGTCTCAAGTGATTCTCCTGCCTCAGCCTCCCAAGTAACTGGAATACAGGCATGTGCCACTGTACCTGATTTTTACAGGTTTTTAACCTTGCAAATATTGTATGTTCTGAAACATATGTGCAAATATACATGGATAATGAGGGCTGTATGTGATTATCTTCATCATGTTACATGAGCCTAAGTGCAATGGAAAAAGTAATGAAAAACATTATAAAAATAATAACATTCATCTATTGGAAAAAACAGTGAACACAAATGAAAAATATAAAGATAAATAGACAAGGTAATATAGTTTCCAAATCTTATAAATGAGTGTAATCATACTAGTGATAATTTATGAAAATTTGGGAGTCAGCAGAATACTTATAAGTTGACTGGATGGACTAAGAGACATCCTGCTTCTGTTCTCAAAACTATTTATTAATATAATATAAGGCAAGAAAGTATAGCTGACAGTCTCTCACAAATAGATATACTCCTAATAATTAAGATATTTATTTTCACTTTCTAATATTGTTTGAGGGATTTGGCTAAAAGACAAAGATAATTAGAGGATATTGGATACAGTTGGAAATAAGAGAAAGAAAGAATGACAAGTATGAATTTGTAATGGTGTTCATATAGGAAATTCAGTAATTGCTGACCTCGTCTCATCACCCTCATGATTCCTCCTTTATAAAATATGCATTATAAATGTAAAGGTCTTGTTTCCTGAATTCAGAGAAATGTATATTATTGATTAGCATTATGGAAGCCGAATGTCATCATGTAGCTTCAATAATGCAAAAAAGCAAATAGAGGCCGGGCGCTGTGGCTCACACCTGTAATCCTAGCTCTTGGGAGGCCGAGGCGGGCGGATTGCTCAAGGTCAGGAGTTCAAAACCAGCCTGAGCAAGAGCGAGACCCCGTCTCTACTATAAATAGAAAGAAATTAATTGGCCAACTGATATATATATAAAAAATTAGCCGGGCATGGTGGCGCATGCCTGTAGTCCCAGCTACTCGGGAGGCTGAGGCAGGAGGATCGCTTGAGCCCAGGAGTTTGAGGTTGCTGTGAGCTAGGCTGACGCCACGGCACTCACTCTAGCCTGGACAACAAAGTGAGACTCTGTCTCAAAAAAAAAAAAAAAAAAAAAAAGCAAATAGAAAAGTTAAAAATAAGCAGTTTATTTTAATGACTGTTACTATAATGGAACAGGTAGATTATATTTTTAGATTATGTGCTCACTGTACATTCAGCTCACAGCTTTGTACCTGTTACTGTAGTAGGGAATTAAATGTGTTCCCAGGAAGCTTACAGTCTAGACATTTTTGCTCTAGTATATGATTGGAGATAATAACCAAGCAGTTGTTTTAATTCTCGTCCCTTAAAGTTTTAAGGAAAATACTTATGAAAGTGAAACATAAGTATGTGTTTAGTGTATGACTGGTGATAACAGTATTTTTTAATGAAGGATATTCACATGGATAATCAGACGTAAACTTTTGTGTTGAGCTCAGTACTTAATTGGGAAATGGGAGAATTCTGTTAGGGATGAGTGTTATTTTTAAGATTTTTTTGTTTCTTTCTGCTTTGTTTTCACTTTCAAAGGATTTCCTTCTGACACTCTTTTTGCCTACTCAGTCCACAGCAAAAACTAGATTAAAAGTTGAGCTTTTCAAAGCTTAAGTCTAGGACTATTATTACTAGTATGATGTTAAAAATTCCCACAGAAGCCTGTGTTGATCAGTAACTTTGTATTACATGATTGCTGTCCCTGTTTGGTAAATGACGGTAATGGAGGAGAGGGGCAGTGAATAGTCTTGTTTCTAATACATTCTGGCCAAATTAAAAGGAAGAGCTTTTAATTAAATTGTCCTCAGTTTCTTTAACTTGGTTTTAACAAACCAGCATATCTTTCTGTTAACCAGTGATGAAGAAACCACCAAATAGCTTGCTTTTTGGTCATATGCATGTTAGTTACTAGAAGAAAGCATTTTATATTAAAGGCTGTGCATTCCCTTAGTTTCCATGATCTGCAGCCCACTGAGCTTATGTTACCACATGAATAACTAATCCAGATGGCTAAATTGTTGGAGAATAGAAAACCAAAACCCATTTCAGGAAGCTATCCACTTTGCTCCTCTTTGGATAGGATCCATTCTAATTAGTAGTGACTTTCTCAATTTGTTTTAAAATTTAATTTTTAATTGCATGTTTTCTTTATTTTTACCTAGGTTACAAAATGTCCTCCTATGCTTGAGACCTACAGACTACGTGTCCTACAGGAACTAATCAATGGTTTTTCATCTCCTGGAGATATATTAGAAACATAAATATGATGCCAAAAGAACTCCTTACCTTTCCCTGACTAGGATTTATTTGGACATACTTTTGTATTGAAGAGAAGTGTACACACCGAGGCTGCTTGCTATCCAGAGACTCTGTCGTGTAGGATCATGGACCATCCTAGTAGGGAAAAGGATGAAAGACAACGGACAACTAAACCCATGGCACAAAGGAGTGCACATTGCTCCCGACCTTCTGGCTCTTCAACATCTTCTGGGGTTCTTATGGTGGGACCCAACTTCAGGGTTGGCAAGAAGATAGGGTGTGGGAACTTCGGAGAGCTCAGATTAGGTAAGAACTTGGTTATGTCAGTGGCTTCCACTAAAAACAACAATAAGCTTTGGAGTGTTTCAAGATAAGCAATTTATAGTTTTAGAGGAAATTTCTCTTAAGTAGGACTTGTTAGTTAAAAGAAAGAATTCTTGAAGGGGGCTACAGTCATTATCAATTATAATTGTTATCCAGGGTTCTTTATATGTTAGAGGTTTTTACATTTTCCACCAATTCTAAGATTTTATATGTAGGTGGATCTGCATACAGATATCAGTAAAGTGCAGGTTTTGATTTAGTAGGTAGAGCCTTAAATTATGCATTTTTTATAAACTCCCAGGTGATATAGATGCTGTTAGTCTTTGAACCACACTTTAGGAAGGGAGTAAAGCCTTGCTTTAATTCAGACTCTGCCCCTAAAAACAGAGGAGTAAATCCTTGCTCAGTAATACCCAGACTTAGTGTATAAGGATATACACTATATGTTCAGAGAAGTTTTCTAACAGATGCCTGGAGTTCCCAACATTAGAATCGAGTTAGAACTCCAAGGAGAAATTATGCAATTTTATTTCACAACCAAGGAATGGGATTTTCTGTTTCAAGTGTGAATTTATGAGTCAGATGTTGAATAATGACAAAATCAACTAGTTTGAACATGTGAGATTGAAAAGAAAGTGCACTGGATATTCATACACATTTTAATGGACCTCTTTTGGTGAATGGGAAAGAGAAAACAAAATGCCTTATAAATGTATGAAGATGGAGATCAGCTTGAGATTTTGGAAAGGTCTCCTTTTAGGCTAAAGTACTTCTTTGTAGCTGTTGAGACTGGAATATTATGAAGCTTCATTGCAAGAAACCTTTGGCCCTTGGGGGAAGTGGGGAGGGGTAGCGTAAGATGATTATTGTTTGTTACCTCTGCTACTTTTGATGGTCCTGCAAAAAGAAGATGGAAAAAATCTTACTTTTGATTTCCCATAAAGAGCTTTGGAGAAAACATCACTAGCCTGAGATGAGAACAGAATTGAATTTAAGGATGCTGAGAATGAATTTATTTTTACCAATAGAAGGCTGGGAACCTGGAATTTAAAGACCTGACTAGGATAATGAAAGGGTCTTTATTTAGAGTTGTGTTCATGTTCAGGTTAGCAAAGCCAGCAGATGCTACTGAGAACAGGAGTAAGATGTGTAATTTCAAACTGCTTGACTTCTTAGCAATTACAGAGTTGCTTTAGCAACTAGTTTTGTGAACATTCCTTTATGTAATAAATTGACTTTGTTTTAACATCACAGTACTACTTGCATTAAACAGATTATGACATAACATCTACAAGATTATTGTTGAGAGGGAGTTTCTAATGCATATAAATCTATGAATTCTCAAAACATCAAAAAATTGTTTAATTTTTGTACAGATGAAAGCAACTTTGGTCAGTGAAAACTGGAAATCTATTTAATCACTTAAGTCTAGATTTGTATTATAAATTTACATGAGATTGGAAAAATCCATTCAGTTAAAAGGATAAATTTGTAGCACATATGTATTTTCAGAGTAGTAGAGTACTGTGTTTTATTTCCTCTAATGAATCTGGGATAATTTTGATATTTCTCATTTTGCCTTGCTTGTAGTCAGTAGAAAAAACTTGTCTTTCTTTTCAGGTGGTTTTATTCTGTGTTTATCAGGTTTTCATCTGTAATATGGGACCATATTATTGCATCATTTTATCTAGAAGTAATTTTTTTTTTTAATCAGCAGAAACCAGTAAAGGTACTTTCTGGAATCATTTGATATCTTCCTAACAATAGAGTGGGCTGTATGCCCCATTCCATTATTCTTTTGCTCTGGTATTACTAAGTAGAAGATTGTATAGACAATAGAAGACATAAACTAGGAAATTCTAAACTCAAGGCAGGTGCTAGTAGGCCTCCATCATGGCTACAACCTACAAGGCCCTGCTTCTCCAAACGAATTTCCTTTTCTAGCCACATTGTTTCTTCTGTCCTTCAAACAGCCAAGTGCATTTCTGTTTCAAAGCTTTACACTTAAAGTTCTTTCTGCTTGCAAAACTCTGTTACAGAACTCTTTCCCTAAAATTTGCACATAGCTGGCAGTTTCTCATCCTTCATGCTTACCTTCTCAGGGAAACCTATATAACTTCTTCCCCACCCCCATTTAAAGTAGCACAGTTCTCCTTTAGCACATTTTGTCTTATCAGACTACTTTATTAATTGCGTTGATCACTATCTGAAATGACCTTGTGTATTTGTTTACTTGGTAGTTTGCCTCTCTTGAATATAAGCTCTTTGGAGGGCAGGGATTCTCTCTGTATTGTTTACTGTTATGTATGAGATGAATGGATACCTAGATGAATAGGAAGAGGGGAAAAAACCCCGAAAGCACAGGCTGTTTTGGGCTCCAGGTTTATGGGGGTAGTGGGGTGATAGTGGTAGGTAGTGGCCTCAGTATTTAGGTAAACCTAAGGATTCCAGACAGAGAGCCAAAAAAAAAAAAAAAAAAAAAAAATAGCATACTGATCAGTGCATTTTGGTTCTCTGCAAATGTTTCTACCCTGTCATGTATTTAAGAACCATTTCCTGAATATTTACTATGATGCTAAACTTTGGAAAGGATACAAATTAACAAGATATAGTTTCAGTCCCTCAGAATGCTAGAGTCTAGTGGTTGGGAGAAGGAGAAAAACAAATTGCAATACAAAGTGACAAGTATTATAATAGATTTTATAGAAGCTACATTGAGAGAGAAGGTTAATGAAGATTTCAGAGAGGAGATATCATTTGATAATAGGACAGGATTTTTGCCTGTAGTCACAAGGAAGAAGGTCTCTCCAGCTACAGAATACATAAGCACTAAATGTTGTGAAAGTAGCCAGCATGTTATCAGAGCAGCAGCTAACAGTTATACATGACTGGGTCCCATAGGATGTGAAGTGAAAGAAAAGTAACAGATGAGGCTGTTAGGTAAGTTGGGACTGATTTTGAAGTGTTTGAGTGGTATTAAAGCATTTGGACTTTATCCTGTAGGCATTAGGTAGAATCATTAAGCATTTTACAACAGATGAGTGACATGATCTACTTTGTATTCTAGAAAGAGAATTCAGGCAGTTATAAGATTTGATCATATAGTACAGAAATTGACATCATTAGATTTTGCTCTAATTATGGTAGTTATCACATTGTACTTTCTTCCTCCATCTCTGTACCCCAAGATATGATTGAGAGAGGTAGTATTTTGCTTTATTTTTCCTCACATCACTAACTTCTTTCACTGTGTATGGTATATAATGAGTACTCAAGAAATATCTGTAGACTGAATAGTCCAGGTCAGAAATAGCAGAGCTTAGGACTTAGCTCTGAAAATGCCAGTGAGATGGAGAGAGGAAGGGGCCAATTAGAAAGAAATTTTAGAAGTAGACTTAGGCAGAATTTAGTCACTAGCTGTTTGAGGGGAAGGAATTAAGGATGACTAAATTTGCTAGCTTAGGAAGGCCATGTGAATGAGGAAACCTTTAATGGAGATAGGAAATATGGGACTGGGGTGGGTGATTGGGAAGGCATATAAGATAGAGTTTGTAAATATTTGACTTTGAGGAGTATGTGACATATGCAGAAATGTATATCTGAGACTTAGAAAGTTCAAGCTTGAGATAGGGATTAAGAAATCATCACCACGTAGGTGTTAATGACCACACAAAGGGTGAAGACATGTTGCTTTGTGGAGCTTTTATGACTAGGAAAAAGAGGATTCTGGAAGAGGAAGAATTTGAAAAATAGAGAGGTTAAGCACAAGAGGGCTAATTAGTCCCATTGATCTTTCACTTATGTTTATATATTTCTGAGATGTTTCTCTCTCCCTGCCCCCCATTTTTAAATGAACACATGTATTTTGTAATCAGAAAAAAAATCAATAAAGAGCAAATTTTTCCATTAAAAAAAAATTTTAAGAAAAGAACATGCTTATTGCCAAAATTTTTTTTTTTTGAGACAGAGTCTCTGTTGTCTGAGCTAGAGTGCTGTGGCATCAGCCTAGCTCACAGCAATTTCACACTCCTGGCCTCAAGCAGTCCTTACTCATCCTCCCAAGTAGCTGGGTCTACAGGCACGCACCACCATGGCCAGCAGATTTTTTCTGTATATTTTTAGTTGGCCAATTAATTTGTTTCTATTTGTAGTAGAGATGGGATCTCGCTCTTGCTCAGGCTGGTTTCGAACTTCTGACCTTGAGCGGTCCCCCCCGCCTCGACCTTCCAGAGTGCTAGGATTACAGGTGTGAGCCACTGCGCCCAGCCACCAAAAATTTTTTAAAAATTCTATTTTATAAGTGTCTCCAGAGATAACCAGTAATGATAGTTTAATTTTGCAAAATTTGAAAATGTCTATCAGAGGCGAGGCACAGTAGCTCACACTTGTAATCCTAGTACTTTGGGAGGTTGAGGCGGGAGGATCACTTGAGGCCAGGAGTTCAAGATCATCCTCAGCAACATAGCAAGATCCCGTTTCTACAAAAGATAGAAAACGTAGCCAAGCATGGTGGTACACACCTATAGTCCCAGCTACTGGGGGAGCTGAGACAGGAGGATCACTTGAGCCTAGTAGTTTGAGGTTGTAGTGAGCTATGATGATGCTCCACTGTACTTTATCTTGGGCTGCAGAACAAGACCCAGTCTCAAAAAAAAAAAAAAATCCCTAGAAAAATAGATGGCTTTTAAAAAAATGTATATCAGGGCATATTTTAGACATGCAATCAAATTGTGCGATAAGCCTGCTTTTATCACTTAATAGAGCATGAACATCCTATTATTTCAACGTAAATATAGATCACTCTTTTTTTTAAAGACGGAGTCTCACTGTGTTGCCCAGGCTAGAGTGAGTGCCGTGGCATCAGCCTAGCTCACAGCAACCGCATTCTCCTTGGGCTCAAGTCATCCTAACTGACTCAGCCTCCCGAGTAGCTGGGTCTACAGGTATGTGCCACCATGCCCGGCTAATTTTTTGTGTATATT